CCCCCCCTCCCCCTTCCAGCGGAGGACATGATCCTACATAGGTTGCGAGCACGGCGACGGACAAGTACCGAGGCGGTTGACTTATTTCTCAAGAGACATGAATGAGCAAGGATTATCTGAGAAGGCGTGGGGTAAACAAGAAAAGCAGCCTTCCTCCGATGAATAGTCTTCATCATGGCAGAGTAAAAGCCTTCGAGGCAGCGTCACATCGCTCGAGGCCGAGACCGCGTTCCTTTGGTGATTCTTACTCGCCGCGCGCTCACGGGCTGGCTTCCCATTTGTTACCAGGAACCTGGCTCGAGTTGTTTGCCCAGCATAACACCAGGATCCAAAACAGCGCAAGCCCAACGACAAGGACAAGGGGCATCCGACAACGCTCACGGAACTACCCGTCAATGACGCGAAGCCCAGGTGACAGACTGCTCCTGCAGCTGGTACGGAGCAAAATGTGCGCCCCATGCCCATATCCCATGCCCACATCGAGCAGATAGATGATGGCTCACTGCCGCTCTGTCTTGTCCGGTCTATACTACATCTCGTTAGCCGAGCCGTGGGAAGAAACCAAATCGGCCCCGTCCGCACCCGACTGACTGGTAAAGGGCTGTCCTTGGTCGTGTAAGTATGTGTGTATGGTGCTCTGTCTGTCTGAGCGATTTGCATCAGCCACCCCAGATGTCCATCATCATGCAGTCAGTCCCGTCTTCTTGGCGGTACTCTCTTGGATTGCGACGGAGGTGGGTGTAAGACGCTAACAGGCTCGCGAGAAACAGAAAGGAAGATGATGTACGTCAACATGCGGGGGGATTGACTCGCGGCATTGCAACCAAGATAGATGCATCGTAAAAGGAAGGGGAAAAAAACAGAAGAAAAGAGCCGGCCCGAGACAGGGAAACTTCTGATAGCCAGGCGAGGAAGAAGGCGAGGCGACTAGCTGTACAGCACCGCCCGAGTCAACTGCCACGCTCACCAGCCAAAAGAAAAGGGAATTTGTCGAAACTAGAAGCCAACTCCGAAGAAAAGATACGAATGGAGGGCGGCTTCTTTTTCATGAATGCAACACGCCCCCTCCTCCAAGACCACGATGGCGGAGAGTAGCGCATCTCACGAGCGTGGTGGGGAGAGAGAGGAGGGGAGAAAAGGCAAAGGATGGCAATGATGCATTTCATTCTCACCACAGCTTCTGTTTTCTGCCTCGTGCAGTAGCGTGCTGGGCTAACGAACAAGTTGAGTGAGGTAGCATCTCAGGTCAGGGGTCTGGGCCGAAGGAGCCATGCCGTTAGCAATGTCTCAGGTCGATGCATGCCATGACGCCAAGTTGAAGCTAGTTAATAAGAAAGAAAAGGCGCCTGACCATGACAAGTACTGGTACTGGTACTGAGGAACTATTCCGTTGAAGTTTTTGTGAGGGCATGCCGGACTGGAGACTCCCAAGGTTCGCTTGCACGAGCGGCCCCAGATGAACTAGTTAGTTATCACGACCAACTGCCGGGAAATTGAGAGGCAGGAAAAGTACAACAGCCCGTTTTTTCCTTTTTTTTTTTTTTTTTGCCTAGGTGTCAGACAAGTTGGTCCCCCAGCCACAGCGGGCAGTGGCTGTTCGTCACACGTGGCCGCCGGCGGGTTGTCCGTCCTTGGCTATTCTGATGTGAAAAGGCTAAAAAGAAGTCGGCGATGCGCAGGGAGAACTGCAAGCTCGGTAACTTGAGGTTGTAGCTGGTCAAGTGCAGGACGGCTTCAACACGGGCCGCTGTCAGGCCAACCACCCAGCCCTTGGCAGTTGCCCGTGAGAGTGTCGTCA